CTAAATCATTACAAGTTTTGTTGATTGGCTATGACTCATAACTGGACAATCACTGGTTGATATTATTTTGAACTGTCTCTTGGAGTCAGCATTTCATTTAAGGTATTATTTGAAAATTATCCAATTGTCAAAATCCAGAAGATAATACATTTTTACTAATGGTACAGCTTGGGAAAATACACTCAAAAATGGTACCACGTGGGCTTCCCTGGTGGCGCAGTGGCTGAGAGTCCGCCTGCCGATGCAGGGGACAGGAGTTCGTGCCCCGGTCCGGGAAGATCCCACATGCCGCGGAGCGGCTGGGCCCGTGAGCCATGGTCGCTGAGCCTGCGCGTCGGGAGCCTGTGCTCTGCAACGGGAGAGGCGGCAACAGTGAGAGGCCCGCGTACCGCAAAAAAAAAAAAAAAAAAAAAAAAAGGTACCATGTGAAATTAAATTGTAAAAATAATTAGGGTCAGCTAAGATGATTTACCACTGAATACACAGAATCTAGAAAATCAGAGTTAAATAGACAAAATTATTTTAAAATAATCTAAAATGATTTATATTCCATCCTATGCCATTTATACAATGCCAAGATGTTGTCTGAAATTTAAGCAATATTTTGAGTTTCCCAGAGAAACTCAAAATAACTGGTCTGAGTTTTCTCTAAATTGACTCTTAAAACAACAGATTTTAACATGAATTTGTGGCTACATAAACACAGCCTAACTCTTTCAAAAATGAAGTTATTTTTATACCGGTAATTATAACATTATACTTTTAAAAGCTTTACAGTGACTCAAAAAACCATACAGACTTCCAATGAATTTTTGCAGAATATCATAATTTGATCAATCAAGATATTTAAAAACATAGGGTAAAAAAGGGAAAAATTTTAAATGCTCACCTTCAATTTATTTCATAGGTCACTGTTATACCATCTAATAAGATAATTAAAAACATGCAAGCAGCTGGTACTACAGCTAAACAGATTAATGTAATAGTCTGTAGTCATATGTGCTGGCAAGGGGCTCGCCTCTTTGGAGAGGAGAAGGTCAGCTGCCCTTGGGAAGAGGAGGGGGGATGGGGAGAGAACGCTCCTACCATGTGGCCCTGTGCTACAGTCACTAAGTTAAACATCTACTGCAAACTGTTCATCGGCAAACTACTTCTCTGCTCTCATACCCTCAGTTTGAAAGGGTCTCAGTTTTAATGGTGAAATAAGAAACAGAGAAAGCTCATTTAATCTAACAGAAAACATTAACACTAGTCTTCAAAAAGCACAAGGTATACTGCATAAACCAGTAATATCTTCTAATATCTAAGATTCTTCTAATCTTTCCATTTTACCACATCACCTGCAAATTAGCTGGGAGAAAAACAATTAAATTTTAACAGAAACTTCCAAAACAAGATCTAGCTATTACCCAGGCACCATATAATCATCATACTGGTGCCTTAGGAGTTAAATGCAGCTATACTCTATCTGAATCAAAGAAGCAAACCACAAGAGACAAATCCAAAGTGAAACCTCCTAGCCTCTGGAAAACAAATCTATGAGCCTTAGGCACATAAAGCTATAGATACGGTCCATTGATTGTAAATTTCAAACTTTGTCAAAATTCCAAAAATCCACCTCTGAATTTATACTCATAATAAAACATCTTCTTCTTATCTCTACTATGTGTACAAATGTGTTACACAAAGGCAACCTGGAATATACAGCAGAGACAGAGTATCAAGCCTCAGGTTAAGCTTGTTCTTAGCCTCCTTTCTGCTAAAAAACAAAAGTTACTTTCCTGTAAGACATTTTGTTTTTAAATCTTCCTTTTGGTGTCTCTACATTAGCGCACGGTAAAAATATTCTACAGTACCAGAAGATTAACAATGATGACAATAATGAGGATGACATGGACTGGAAGATAAAATCAGCTAATATTTATTCAGCATCTGCCACACAACATTAGCCCATTAACTCCTTGTAACAAATGTGCTTTATTATCCCCACATTCAAGGTGAGGAAACTGAGCCGAAGACTTGTCCAAAGTCTCCATTTGGAGTCAGGATACGAACCACCTCGCTATGTTTAGATATTATTAATAAACAAAAAACAGAACAACAACAACAAAAAAAGAGACTGTGACCTCTTATAACTGACCATCTAAGACCACAATAATATAAACAAATAATGGAAAGAATATAGACTTAGGTGGCCAATTCAAGACCGAATTGGAAAGTTAATAAAACCTTGGCACCTGCTATAAAAGGGTACACACGTGGAAGGTTAAGTGAACAATAAGGCAGCAAAGTTGCCAGTTCGCATGAGGTAAGCACAAAGAATTAATAATATTAATGCATGGCTTTGCATTTAGATTTTCAAAAGGCTTTATCTTATACAGTCCTATCTCGATCTTTAAAACAGTTGTGAGAAGGAAGCAGGCCAGACATTATAATGTCCATTCTATAGATAAAAAATTAGAGCTAATCATTATCCCAAGGCACAGCATATATAGCTTGAGTATCCTAGTACTAGGTTGACAGCCAGAATTATCTGCGAAGAAAGGTCAGGATTTCTGAGGTGGTTTAAAACACAAAGGTAGACTTGTTAGGCTAAAGATATTTGACGGTTGGAACATTCCCATTTTTCTAATAACCTATTTCTACTTGCTTTAAAAGAGCTCCGATAGTAATGGAAAAATAATTTTCATTTTCAAAAGTAAATTTTATTGACAATTCTGTTGCCATTTTAGTGTGATTCTGCAACAATTCCTAGGTTTTATCAGTTAACCTGATGTGAAAATATACCCTAGAGCTGTGCTTCTATGAATTCTGCATTTAACACAAGTGTCAAATTCACAAGTAAGCTCATTATATTGTAAGAGCTATTGCCTACTCAGTAGCAAAATATTCATTTCACACCTTAAATACTATACTACTATTTAATAACAGCACTGGCCTGCCAACTATTAAAAGCTCATTTTTGTACACTGTACTACCTGAGCTTTTTATCTTGCCTTTTTACTTACAACCATAAATTAATATCCTAACATTACAACACTGACAGGCATTGATTAAAACTGTATTAGTTAACAACATTAGTATTTACTGTGCAAAGTTGCATTAGGAGTTTATTTTTAAAGTACAATTATCATTCAATCATACTAAGATACTTTAATCTTCAAACTACTCAAGAACAAAATAAACTACCAGATAACACTGTGCCTTCGTATTAACACATTTCTCTTAACTTGCTGTCCATTAGTTACTATAATTAGCTAACTACAAATGTAGGTATGAAGTATAATTCACCAATGAAGTTGATATATACATATGGGTTTTCCTGCCTTTGAAATACATCTTTATTTTCCTTTTGTCTTGGATTTTTTTAAACTGTATTTATATCTAATACTGATATTCCCACCATGGATTTCACACATATTATCATCTTAGCATTCCTCAGTTACATGACAAACATGAATATTTATTTAAATATCTTTTATAGAGAGTTCCCTGGTGGTCTAGTGGTCAGGATTCTGCACTTTCACTGCTGTGGCCCAGGTTCAATCCCTGGTTGGGGAACTGAAATCCTGTAAGCTGTGCAGCATGGCCATAAATAAATATCTTTTTTATTCATCTTTTTTTTTTTTTTTTTGGTGTGATCAACATGTTCAGATAGAGGATTCTACCTATTATTTAATATGTCAAATTCCAAGCTTTATATTACACTTCAGCACTAAAAGAAGGTTCTGGAGAACTCCAACATTTATAAGGTGGGATGGGTACAGAGAAAATATAATGACAACACGTGAGCTTTTACTGCTGTTATAATATGCTTCTAGAACACCATGGGAACATAAGCCTTCTGTAGTATCTGTGACACTTGAATGACTGATTATTTATAAAGACCCCAACTGGTATAAAATAAAGATGTCAAGCATCTCAATTACCACCTCATTTCTGGAATTCATAAACAAACTGTAAAAACTTTCACAATTACCACACTTTTATTAAGTGCTTCCTGAATATAAGGCCCTACTCTAGATGTTAACAGCTTGCCTGGGATCTGAAGAAACAAATGACACATTTCCAGCTAGGTATACAGAATATGTGTTCAAGAAAAAGATAAAGATTCTCAGCATAAATTCCATACTTATTATAGAAAAGAAGGAATTATAGCTTAATATTCAAATGAGTTTCCAAGTGTACAGTGGTTCTTGCATATATTTTATAGCATCAACACACAAGTATCGGAACTTATTAACCATAAGGACAATGTACTCCAATTAAAGTACTTCTTCAAGAATCTGCATTGCTACCTATAATGCCAACATGTATTATTACTCGATCTCTACTTTTTATTCCCCAAAAGAAAACAACCTAGTTCTTACATCACTTTGGTTCAGTATATGAATTTTCAAATATTACTGGAAATACATTAATCTTTCTTCTTCCTAGGTTTCCCTGTTAAGAAGATACAAAATATATAAACATTTACTCAAGCAAATTCGAGTTATAAAGAGAATATTAACAAATAACTAGATAAGATGCATGTTTCCTTAATTGCTGTATCCTTTTTAAAAATTGTTAATTGAGATGTAACTGCCCTGTTTGCTGAAGAGCCAAATGGGATGTTAACAAACAGCACTTAATGTAACCACGGATTATATTTTATACTCTCTGAGATGCTCACAGGCAGTACACTCTGTATTAGCAGGAAACTTAAACAAAGGAAGCCTTTAGTACTGTAAGAGATATACTGGAAAAACTAAAACAAAAATGGATTATATTGAAACTTAATACTACATATGCATTCATTCTAACCATCCTACTCTAGGATAACGACAGATATCTACAATAAGTCCATCTACTCAAGAACTAAGAATGTTACATTTTCAATTACTCAATAAGTCTGCAGGACAACTGCATACCACAAATATTCTTCACATTTGTCAGATTTTTTAGAACCCTGTAAGATTAGGTATCTTGTAATATTATATGTCTACGTATTCATCACCTACCTATAGGAATTAAAAGTTCCATCAGAGTCTAAAGCAGAACTTGTTCTTCTTCCATTTTGATTTGAATCTCCTGGAAAAAAAAATTAAAAATACTGAGATTATGAAACTTGAGTATTCCAGTTGAAAAGCTACTGTGTGACAGCTCCACGCGGTTATTGAGTCAAAACAACAAATATCCCCTTATCCCTCCCCCAAATGTCTTTTGTAATCAGAGTCCTTTAAACAAAAAATTCATTTTGATGTTAAAATATAGACTAACACCACCACTCCTAACTTGGATAGGAATACTACAGAAGTAATTGCAAACAGGAACAAATGAAGTATAATACAGCCATCTTCTGCTTATGATTCACAGACAAAAGCAAAATTTATACACCATTTAATCACAAACTAATGCTTATAAACAAAGGGCAACTTTTTATTAGTGTCCTGTCCACTGGCAGAGTCAAAAGAGAGCAGGCAGACAGCAGACATGGAACACCCTCCCCCGGCCCACCTCACCCCCTGGCCCCCCAGTCCTCCACTCTCTAGGAATCTGGTCTGCAGAGAGCGAGAACAGAAAGCTGAGAGGTGGTGATCAGGAATGCATTGTATAAAGACGCAGACCTACTGGAGAATGGACTTGAGGACACGGGGAGGGGGAAGGGGAAGCTGGGACGAAGTGAGACAGTGGCATGGACATATATACACTACCAAACGTAAGGTAGATAGCTAGGGGGAAGCAGCCACATAGCACAGGGAGATCAGCTCGGTGCTTTGTACAACCAAGGGGGGGGGGATGGGGAGGGTGGGAGGGAGGGAGACGCAAGAGGGAAGAGATGTGGGGACATATGTATATGTATAATTGATTCACTCTGTTATACAGCAGAAACTAACACACCATTGTAAAGCAATTATACCCCAAAAAAAATGTTAAAAAAAAAAAAAAGAATGCATTCTAAGGAGCTTTTAATACATCTTAATAGTCTTCCCCAAACTTTATGTTTTAACTGTGGGCAAAAGTTCAGTAGTTTAAAAAAATAAAAAAACAACAACATCAAAAGGTATTTCTGCCTCATGTAGTAATATCAAACTTTTAGGGAAAAATAACAATTCCTCTCAAGCATATTCATAAAATCAGATTAGAACAAATTCATACCTATCAGTTTAGAGATCATAGAATAAGAATAAATTTGCTAAAGAAGTTTAAACAAATGCTTGCCAATGCCATAATATAAAATATACATTCTTACTCAAAGAAAATTAATTTTAGCTTAAAATTTAAAGTATATACTTAAAAGTATAGTTTTTAGGAAACCATAGATACTACTATTAAATATATCATTTATTCTTAGAAACAAATTAAATAGACCAGAATCTGATTACATTTTATACTCCTAATTCCTATAATGCAACTTTCAAACATCAGGTTATATTCACTTTTAAAGCTTAATAATTTAAATGATTTATTCAATTGTTATTTATACTTTCACTCCACTTTGAACATTCTAAAGTACCACGGGAGATTATCACAGTGGTCCTGGTTAAGTCAAATAGTTACAGACCTTTCAGTTTAGAGGCGAGATTATTTTAAATTACTGAATATAGCACTTAAGGTACCATACATATATGATTATGTTGCTCATTAATGGTTATTGAAAGCAAAAGTGTAACTTTAATGATAGCTACCTATTTTTCTTTGCACATTTTATAGCTGACTGACTAGTCAAAAATGTTGGTTCTCTTCAAAATCTTTGCAGCTGCACCCAAAGTGTTTAGAAGAACGAGAATTGGTCTGAGCTCACTTACTGAACTTTTAAGTGTACTCTTTTTTTCAAAATACACTTTCCGGTTTTGGGGGTTTCTTTTCATTAAACAAAAACCCTGAAATGGATTACAGCATTTGAAAATGTTGCCAAATTTTATAGAAGAAAATAATCCAAAACACTTAAATGTTTAAGATCAATCTAGTTGAGTATACTCTGTTAATTCTTTGAAAACATGGGTACCGTAAGATGACTCATGCAACATACTTCATTTGCTTTTTAAAAAAATTAATGGTATTATCATAAATAAACTAAAAAGATTTAAGGAAAATTAGTCTCTCCCTGTCTTGCTAAATGAAAATTTCCTACAACACATGTTATTTAACAGCTTGCAGACATTTCCTGTAAAACGTTCCACAATCAGCACAGAATAAGTACTACATCATACATTTAAAATATAAGCTTTCTTTGTCTTTAAAACTAAAGATTATGATTACTTAAATACATAAAATCTCACCAATGGAATATTTCTTGTCCTCTGCTTATATTTATCATAATAAATATAAAATACTTCAAAGAATTAAGGGATTTTCAGTTTTTTAAACACCAAAGTTTTGTCATCAAAATACATCACAAAAGTTTTCTTCATTTTATACCTGTATGGAAACGAATATATCACATTAAATGTAACCCTCAAAGGATTGTAATAAGGAAAAACAACAGCTTTTCTTTCTCTAAAACATACCAAATAAGGAGTACAGTTGTTTCTCACAACAATATTAGAGAAAAGATTTCAGAGTTTGCTATATGGGGAAAAGGCTATAAAGTTTTGAAGTGGGAAAAACTGCTTTGTTCCTTCAATCCTCTAGATGAAATTAATTATAGCAAATGTTTATGAAAACATCTGTTCCTTACAGCTATAAATTCTTAATTTTAGTATGGACGATTCCAGGCTCTTACTTTGGAAGTTAACTGTCTGACAATTGAAAGGTTTACCAAGGAACAGACAGAATTTGTAATTCTGGAAAATGGTATATACAGTGTGCTATATCCGGTAGAGATTTTCATTTGTGTGAAACACTTGGAGGGGCTTAAAACTGGTAACCAGGAGAGATCAAAGACAAACAGAAAGGCTCATTTTTCATTTAAGCTGTTATACAAAAAAAACATATCTGTATCACAAGAAAAGACCAACTAAGAATTAAAAACAAATGCTACTTTATTATCAACCTAATTTGGAGGTAAGTATAACAAAGTATTAATTTTATCAGGATTTTAGTAAGTCTAATGCCAATACAGCCATGGGAAAGTATATGTAGTGTTCCTCAAAAATAACAACAGAGGGTGCAAGAGAGTTTAATATGATGTTTTTATTTGCTGTTCTGATTCTTGAACTAAGTTGTCAGGTAGCTGTAACTGTAACAAGGATACATAGGTTGTTTTTAGACTTTCCCTCTCTCTCTCTCCCAAACACACAAACACACGCGCACACACACACACACACACACGCAAAAATACATTTTTAAAGTAATCTCACACAAAGGCCTTTAAAAACCAAACAGCACAAATACTTAAATATGTTAACAGAGTTCCTTTCATTTGCTTGAAAAGTAATTTAACAATAGAGTAAATTTTAAAAATACAATTGTGACTTTAAAGGTATTCCAATATTTAATGTAAACTAAGCCAGTAAAATAAAATGGATGTGTTTACTGAGTAAATCTTAAATAAATACATAAATTATATACAATATATAACATACGAATTTTGTATGTCGCTATATGCATGTGTAAGATTGTACAACATATATATTTGTAGGAATGGTTCATCAATTATCTGTGACCATTACAGTTTGAAATTTACATAACACATTCATTTCTCATTAATTGGTAAGTAACTTTGTGAAATGAGTTCATAACATTCAGAATTAAAATAAGTTGGCTGATTTGAAAAGAATATGCTCATAGTTACATTGTTTTTAATGAGAATACAAAGAGCATAGTATTTTCCATTAGTAATCCCTAACATATATGTATCTAACTTATTAAAACAATAATATGTATAACGGTGACTTAAATAGGATAAATTAAATTTGGACTCCTTTTTTAGCTTTTACTGTAGTCATGCTTAGCTAAGAGCATTTACAGTATCTATCTGTGCACTGCTGAAACCATGCTGAACAAAGTTTACAGATTTCCAGAGTGCTTTTTATGCACAAATATCTGCTCTATAAGGGGGGGATGAAGATTTTAAACGAGGCTAGGTTAAAAACAACCAGAATAATGCTGTAAGTAAGCACACCTACTCAACTGTGCCTTCTTCAGTTTACATGTAAAAAAAATCAAGTTTTAGAGGATCACATGGTACTAAGTATGAATTCTGAAAAATATTACATAAGTTTTAAAAAGGCTGATCTCTGAATTGTTAGAGAAATGTCATCATGTATGTGTGATGAATAATTAACAGTAAGGGGAAAATATTTGGTTCAAACTTAAGTTGAAAGCAAACTTATGGATAGCCACATTTTAGTTGTGATAGGATAATATGACATAAATGAATAGTGTAAACACCTAAAACCTTGTGTGTCTTTTAAATGAATGAGGATTACTACTGAAATGTTTTAGTTAAATCTGAAATCCCATTCAAAGCGAATGATTCAAAAAAATCTATAAATTACGTATATTCATGGCATTGACACAGTTAAGGCAAAGCATAATAACTCAGCATTGTCAATGAAATCAGTAGCTGCAAAGGTTATTACCTCATTTCAGGAATAAGGTAAACAACAGGCTCTGTAGGCTAACTATTTATGCTAAAAATCTAGGACCACTCATTAGGTTTAAGAGCCAGTGCTCAAGTAAATACAGGAAATTTGTTTATTCAATAATTTTCCATTTTCTCTATCACTGTTAATTTATCTACATTCTAATGATTTAATGGCCATATTTAGTTCTCTACATAATATTTTCAAATTATTAACTTACATAATGAAACTCAGATGTAAAACAAATACATAGGAACTATTTTAAATAAATAACATTTCAAGTGCACAATTTTAATTTAAGAAGATAATACTTGTTATTCTTGTTAAATATTGAACAGAATTCTTTTTAAAAAGAAAGCAGAATGACATCAGCAGAGTGGCAGAAGATACAACTCCAAGTTCTTATCCTCCCACAGAAACGTCGAAAAACTAGAACTGTCGGAACCAACTTTGTAATGACTCTGGAAAATAGTCAAAGATTTACAAGAACCAAGTGAACAATGAGCCAAGAAAATGGCAACTGGAAAGCTCTGTGGGGTTTTTACTTGCCTGTTCTACCAT